AAAACTTCTTCGATGATTCTTCCCCATCGTTGAACTGCAAGATCTACTATAAGAATGCTGTGGTTTTTTTCAGAAAATGAAATCCTCTTAAAACAAATTAGGAAAATAACAGAAAATAAGATGAATTATTATGAACAAAAGGTAGAGAGAAGGAGACCGTTAGCACATCTAAGGATAGCGTCAACGAAGAAGATTTAAAAGAAGCCGTACAAGGTGATGACGTACGCATTTGCGGTCCTTTTCGGTTGTCGTAACTTTAAATCTCTCGGTGCCCTATTTTGGCAAGCAGAAGTTAGCGTGCATCAGGTTAGGTTTTATGTGCTCTTCATATATGACATGTCAAACTTTTCAGTACAAGTGAGAAATCCGTGCTTTCTCGGAAGAAACCAGGCTTCGATCAAATGAGCTTCACTACGAAAAGTCTCCAAGCAGTTTCTTAGACGCAAGCGGTTTCTTAGCAATGGAGCGCGCTTAAGGTAGGCACTGTCAACCTATCGACAGCGCCACCCTGGCAAACGTTGGAGGTAGCAGAAGCAACAAACCTCAAAAAACTCTTAGCACTTCCACTTGCTAGTACATAGGTCATAAGCAGAAGGTTCTTCAAATGCAAGAAACGCCGTTGGATATGGTTCTTCGAATGAGCGGTTTTCGACTTTGTTTTCTTCTATCAAAAATACCGACTTTTCTTTTGCATCGCTCTGGAACTAGGAGGGCGCGCAGGATCCTCCAAAGGTCGCCGCTTTTGTTTGTGGGGTAACCTGAGGGTATCCAAGCCTCCTTGCGCTACTAATTATTGCCGATCTGAGTGGTTGAGAAGTCTGAGTCCGCGCGGGTAAGATAGGATACCAGGCTATATTTACGGGAGTTATTCCGTGTTTCCTGCGCCGTACCAGTTGATTTTGTAAAAGAAGGCCATTGTCATCTGCCATCGGAACATATAATACAATCGTGTAAACACATTATAATTTCTGAGTGGAAGTGCGCTGAAGGTGGTAGCTCTTATGGAGTAGCAATAAGCATTCAGGATAAAACGATAAATATAAAAAGGCAATCAGATTGTGCACGTCAGTATTCTTGTTACACTTGAAGGAATTAATTCTTAAGTATTTAAACGCTCTTGTTAGATTTTATTCTAGGTCTATTCAGCACAAGTGACAGTAATACTGCAGGCGCTCGCAACTTTTCAGTATCCACTCTCTCCCGCATTTCCTTTACGACATGAGCAAAGGCCTTCTGATTTAAAGCGCCGTAATTGCTCAGAATCGTAATTATCATTGGACAAATTTTGGGTTTAGTTGCACATCATGCAAACGACTCCGGTTGGCCGAAATTATCGGATAAGAATGTGTTCTGAAGTAAGCACTTGGTTTGGCTTTACGATAAAATCCAAACTTTGCATAATT